CAGGCCTGACACCCACACTCCACGGTCTCTTGGGGGAGCCAAGACCCCAACTTGAGCCCAGGTCCCAGCCTTGACGGTCCCCTGCACCCAACAGATAACTCTGGGCTCTCTGAACCATCTCCATGGGTCGTAACTTCTTAGGGAACACACCTGGCCCAGGGCACAGACACCATTGGGACACCCTCCCTCCAGAGGGGAGAGAGCCTCTGTCGACAACACACACACCCTCCAACCCAGCAATTTCACATCCCAGCATCCCACACTTACACTTGAAAATATTCCACTAGGCTCTGCTTGTATTAACAAGCTACCAGATGATATCAGATACAAGGCCACAGTCCCTCGTAAGGGAGGTCACAGACATCACCTCCCTTGTGAGCTTCACCTTGGGGAGGGACAGCTTCTACTGCCAACAAAGGCTAGCCCAGTCCTTCTCTGCATCAAGTGAAACGTCATGCTCCAGGGTGGAGGCTAGGCCATCCCTTGTCTGCAGCAGGTGGAATGTCACTCCACAGGCAGAGGCTAGCCCTGTGCTCTCACGAGTGGAGACTCAGAATATCATGCTACATGGACATGCCAGGAGCCCAGGGACTGACAAAGATTTTTGTCAAAGGTTTCATTAATTTATGAGCTAAAACAAATAGGAAAAACACTATCTTAAGCTGCTCTCTCTACCACTGGACTCAGTTGTGCTTATGAAAGTGATTGCAGTTTCTTCAAAAACACTCCAGGAGTTAAGCATTTTCAAAATTGGAGGTGGGCCTCCCACACAGACAGCTGGCATCTGGGGGACCGGCAGTGTCCACATCAGGGGCCTTGAGGCATGACCAGCTGAACTTAGCCTCCTGGCAGTGACTGGTTTGAATACTTGACTTATACTGCTTTCTAATAAAACTGAGACTTTCAGGCCGTGCTCAGTGGCTCACACCTATAATCCCAGCACTCTGGGGGCCGAGGCGGGTAGATTGCCTGAGCTCACGAGTTTGAGACCAGCCAGAGCCAGTGTGAAACCCTGTCTCTAAAAAATAGCTGGGCATTATGGCAGGTGACTGTAGTCCCAGCTACTCAGGAGGCTGAAGCAAGAGAATCACTTGAGCCCAAGAGTTTGAGGTTGCTGTGAGCTATGACACCACAGCACTCTACCAAGGGCAACAAAATGAGATTCTGTCTCAAAAAACAACCTGAGATTTTCTCAGCAGCTAATGTGTGAAATTGCAAAGAAATAAGCTTCCTATCTACCTGTTATACCTGTTATTTTTTCTGTTACCTCACAGATACAAGAATGTTTATTGAGATTTATTCTATAATGTAATTAAACATAGTGATAATAAACATTTTGTCATGTCACAGTAATTTCATTTTAAATTATCTGGTGAAGGACAGAGTCCTTTGAGCCTCCCAACAGGCCTGGGGAGTCTGATAAACCAGGTTTCCCTGGAAACTACAACCCTCAGAGGTGCTTTCCCCTTTTGGGAAATTTCCATAAAATTCTTAAATTCTTCAATCGATAGACACCTCCTACCCAGTAGGCTACAGGAAGGCCTCCAACTGGAAAGGAGAGACATGACCTCTCAGAGACCCATGTCTTTCTCTTGGCTCAAAATGCTCTGTCAGCAGACCAGACCTGGCCCTGTGGGGACCCCTGCTGCCAGAGTCAGCACAACCAGACATACAGTTACCCCTCAAAGGCAGCCAGGAGGAGATTGGCCAACAACTCCATCACACCTGGGAAGCACCCCAGTTGCACACAAGGCTCATGAAGGCTGGAAGCTTTCCTGTCCTCCCCTGCAGGATGCCCACTCTCACTGCTAAGAAATGACCACAGGCCCCTGGAGCCTCAGAGGCCTCTAAGGTCACTGCACACCAGGACAGGACACCATCTGAGCAGAGTCCAGCAGTCACTCCTGACACCAGATTCTCCCTCTGGCCTGTTGTAAGTTCAATTTTTATCCTGGCCACTCCAAATGGACAATGTACTTGGCAGATTAAGCAGCACCCCAAGCCCTCACCTCTGAGGCTGGGACTCTCCTCAGTGTGCAGGACAACTCCAGGATTCACACCTTTGTCAGCCTCCATTTCCCCATCAGTAAATCCCCTACAGCTCATAGTGAGAAATAACTGGGGCCTGCACAGCAGGAGGGTGAGTGTGGTCCCATCTCCTGCTCCTAAGTGGGGACTATTTCCACGTGGAGTAACTGCCCAGCTCTCATCCTGTGCACAAGGAAAGAATGACGCTGGGGTCTGATTCAGGCTCTAAGAGGACCCCCACAGTGCTGGGACACCCCCCAACAAGCTCCCCAGGGCAGCCCCATGGAGATACATATGCCCAATTTGGGACCTTTTCTGTGGCTCATAGCCCCTTTGCAGAGGATGGTAGGAGGAGGGTGCCCCTCTCCCTGTAGCCAAAGGCAGGTCTCTGACCCCTTCAGACTCAGGGAAGGCCCATGTCTCCAGAAGAGCTTCTGGGAAAGCTCAGAGAGAAGTAAGCAATGGCTATGGCTAGGCATAGAGGCTAATCAGTGGAGAAAGTCCCTCCCACAGAGCAGAGGCCACCAGTGGGCCTGGTCTGATGCCCACCAAGCCCTGGGGCACAGGGCATGGCCTCCCTCTCCACTCATGATGGTGGCTACCCTGGAGGCCAGCAAGGACACTCAGCAGGGACACCTGACCTCTTGGAAGACTTTGGTGGCAACGGGCAGGAGGCAGGTGGCCAGGAAGGGACTTTCTTCTAGCCACAGCCAAGCATAGCAGCCAGCAAGCCCCAGCCCCTACCCCTACCAACCACCCCAGCCCACCTCAGCACCATCTTCATGTAATTAATGATGCTTATTGCATACCACGGGCTAGTCCATTACAGGTGAGGTGGGACCACGGGGTCTGGCCTCAACTTCAGGAAAGTTGGAGTGGGGCTGGGCCCTGAATAGTCTGGGCATTAGGAGCAACAGAGAATTCTATGTCTGGGCTCTGCGGAGTGGGGGTGCTGAGCTCCAGATGTGGTACAGAGAGCCCGCTGGACCACCACAGAAGGGCACAGATTTCCCCTCAATGGTCTCTATGCACTCTGGGGGTGAGCAGCTGTGCGCACTTTACAGATAGGAAAAATGAGGCTTGCAGAGATTCTGAGACCAGGCCTGAGTGCCCAATTGAGAGTCAGTGCCAGAGCCCTTGTTTTTCACCATCCCTCCTGCCCACACCCCAGAGGGAACCCCCTGCTCGTGGGGACACCTGCCCTGAGTCCAAGCCTCACTGAGGGACTTGATGAAAACCCTGTGCCCACAGCAAGGGAGTCAGAGAGAGGCCTAAGCAGACTGTGGGCTGGGCTGCCCTGCATAGCAAGGGTCTCACCCAAAAACCTCCACAGGCTGCAGGGGCAGAGCTGCTCCATGGAGAGACCCATCCTGACCCGGGGACACCCAGGTGGAGGTGACACAGCCCCTACCCATGGAACCCATGCCCAGCTCATTGGACCCAAAGTAGAACAAGCCCTCAGGTAGCAGTAGCATGGGTCAGATGCAGAGCAGGGCACTGATCACTGAGACCCAGGGCCACCTAGCCAGTGGGCTGTGGTCACTTTGGGCCAAGACCTGGCTAAACTGGCCAGTCCCGCTGGGAGTCCCTTCAGTCTCCTGCCAGGTGGAGAGGGAGGTGAGGGCAGCCCCTCCTCAGGGAGTCTCATAACTGTGCAGGTGTGTTCAGCACTGGGGGCCTTCTGAGGCTGTGGTCTCCCCAAGACACCCTCCCTGCATCTCCCTGTTGGGGTCTTCTCTTCACCCCCAAACCCGCCCACATCACATTCCAGGGAGGGTCTGTCCAGAGCATACCCCCAGTGTACTCATAGTGGCACGCTCCTGGGCACAGTCCCCAGCCCCAGGGGCACTGGACAGAGACCATTTCCCAGAATCCGCTCCTCACTCCAGTCCCAAAATGCCTCTTTCATACAAAATGGCCGAGCACCACTGCTCTTCCCGCGCCGCGCTGTGGTGCAGCCTGGATGGGAGAGCAAGCGGCCTGGAGCTGGGAGGCTGTGCACATCATAGCCCTCTGGGGTCTCCATGCGCCCTGAGCCAGCACAAGCCCACAGGCACTCCCACGCAGACTTGGACGCCACACAACATCCCTGGGCTCAGAGACGTGCCCCCCCCATCACCCACCCCCAGGAGGCAGTGGCTCCCGAGCTCCAGGCCTGGGACCTGGTAACGGGACAGCCTTTCTAGGTCCTTCTAGGTCCGAGGCTGGCACCCCGGGAGAGCCGCTTCCCCTCTTGCCCAGTCTCCACTCTGCCCGAAGTGGGGGAGGCAGCTGCTGAGACTAGTCAGAGCTGTGCTTCGGGGAGGGTGCCTAAAGGGCATTGATGCTGGACCAGGGATGGGGCAGTACCCACGGAGTCGGCCCTGACGGTGTGCGGTAATGGTGGGACCCGTCCCCCAAGTCAGCAGCCTCAAAGCTCGCCCCACATGGACAGAGAAAGGTTCGAGAGGATGGCGGAAGAAAACCAACACCCCCCCAACCCCGCGCGCGCGCCGCCTTCACTGGGGAGGTGGGGGCGCCCAGCCCACAGAGTCCCCAAGAGTCCAGACCCAGCGCAGGACCGCAGCGCCGCCCTGGCTCCCCGACTGGCCCTTTGTTCAGCGCAGCGGGCCATGGGGAGGGGCCTCAGGCTGAGGAGGGGGCAGGGGTACCAACGCAACCCCGCGCTGCGGGGGAGGGGCTGATGCAACCCAGCCAGGGCCTCCCCACTGCCTGGAACGGCCCCTGACCCCCAAACTCCTTCCTGCCTGATCCTCCCAAAATCGTTTTCCAATCTCCGCCCCTCGCTTTAACCAGGGGACGCAGATTCCTAACCCAGACCCCAGGATCGCTGCGGGACCCACGCGGGTCCTTGGACACGCGAGCAGGGGCAGCTCCACCGGGCGCGGCTGCGCGCCTACTGTCTGCGGCGTCCGGGCCGTGGTCGCCGATCAGAACCCCGGCCGCGCCCCACGCCCCCGCCGGCCACTCACACGTAGGCGTGGTAGATGAACGCCCAGCCGCGAGGCCGCTCCAGCACGTTGTACAGGAAATTCTGCAGCTTGCGGTAGAAGGCGTTGCGCTTGGGGGGCTTCCCGGCACCCGCGCCGCCGGCGCGCGGCTTGCTCAGAATGCTGCCGCGCTTGGGGGCCTCAGAGCCCGCGATGAGCAGCGCGCCATCCCGAGTGGAGTCGGGCGCTCCGGGGTCCAGCCCCACGAAGCCCACCTTGAGCTTCTTCTCCCCGCTCGGGCCGGGGTACACGCCGCCGTTGCGTGACTTCTGCACCATGGTGCCGGCGGCGCCGGGTGGGGCGCGGGCTCAGCGGGGGCGGTGCGTGGGGGGTGGTGCGGGCCCCAACTCAGGGCCCTGGCTCCGGAGCCGCATGGCCGAGGAGGTGGCGGCGGCGGCTCCGCGATCCTGCCGGCCCGGGCCGCGCGCGGGGACGCTGCGGCCACCTCGCTCCGCGCGCCTCGGCGCCTGGCCTGCAGCTCTGTCGGCTCCGCCCGCCGCCTTGCCCCGCCTCGCGTTAACCCCCCCGACGCCAGGCGGGCAGCAGCAGGGAAGGGGAGAGGAGGACCGGTTGTTCTAAGCGTCTGAGCCACCCAGACCTACTACCCCATCCCGCACCCCAGCCATTTGCACATTAACAAGGAATCAGCCCATGGCCACCTCTGAGCTGGGCAGGACCAAGCAAGTGGGCTGGCCATCTGATGGCCCCCACCCCCCACACACACCCCCTCCCCCGCTTTCTCAGTGTCACACAGCCAACCCCTGGCCAGGGTTGGTTCTTTCAGCTGGGCTCCTGAGCGGGCTTCTCTGGAAAGGGGGTGGGGGGTCTCTCTGTTAGGACTCAGAAGATGGCCTGAGCCCAGCCTGCCTGGAGGAGTCCTAGGAGGGGGTGGTCAGTGGAGGGGCGTTGTGTTTGCAAAAGCCAAGAGGCAAGAAGAGGGTAAATGCAGGCAGAGAGAATAACCCCGAAGAGGCCTGCCTCAGGCTGATGCTAGTCTTCCTGGTTCAGGACAAAGGAAGTGTCATCTGGGAGAAGGGTGGCAGCTCCCACCTGCCCAGGAGCTATGGGTGTTCTGGGAGGGATCCCTCTGGAAGCTCCTGCTATGAGGCCAAAGAGACCCATTTTTGAACCCTGTATGGCCCGACCACTCCATGCTGCTAGCTGCTCACCTTGAGCCCCTGTCAGAGCCTTCTCTGTGCACCTGGGAAGGCACTGGTGCATCTCCTGACTACAGCCAGCCCCCCAATCACCACATTCACCTGGCATCACAGGGTCTGCCAAGAGAAAGGTCCTCTGGTTAGTAGCTGGGACTACCATCTCAGGTCACTCCTCATAAAACAGCACTAACTGGCCAGGCACAGTGGCTCAGACCTGCAATCCCAGCCCTCTGGGAGGCCTGGGCAACATAGCAAGACCCTGTCTCTTAAAAAAAAAAAATAGGTTTTAAACTTAGCCAGGCATGATGGCACATACCTGTAGTTCTAGCTACTCAGGAGGCTAACACAAGAAAAGATGGCTTGAGCCCAGGAGTTTGAGGTTGCAGTGAGCTATGATGATGTCTGCACTCTAGGCTGGAAAACAGAGCAAGACCTTGCTTGTCTCTAAATAAATAAATAAACAGTGCTAACCTGGTACAGGGTCAGCCCTTTGGTTTCCAGAGCTAGTGACCAGAGGGCCTGTGGTTGTTTGTTTAATTAGACTGAAAACATAAGGGTCAATGCAGGCACAATGTTAATCTGTATATTGTCTAGAATGTTGGGGGTGGACTGTAGCTTACATAAGCATATGCACAGCCACATACAGGACATCCCTGGGCACACGCCTTGTCCTCCACCTCCCGCTTCCAGGCCAGCACCTTGGCTGTAATTACCAGTGTTCAGTGGGCTTCCCCCTAACAGCTGCAGTTTCTCAATTTCATGCACCCCTCAGCCTACTGAGCTGACTCCTGGCCCAGGTTAAAGGAGGAGGCCCTGAACTGGCCTGTCCAGGTGCAAGGGAACAGCTTCCTGTGCAGAGGAAGAAGGTCCTGCCCCTGTCTCCTGCACACGCTGGCTGGCTTTGTTCATCCACCTCTGGGCAACCACACTCATCAAAAAATGGGACAGAGCAACCACAACTCAAATGTGTAACATCCTGTTGGGGGGAGTTCCAGACTACCGCAAAGTTCCAGACTACCTTGGCAGTTCCTGAGCTAGGCTTCATGCCTCCTGGGAAAGCAAATATCTCAGGTTTAATGTCGGAGCAAAGTGAGATCCGTGGTTAGGGTTGGCTCACAGAGAATAAGGAAAAAGTGATTCCCACGTTCCATTTCAGCACTGAGATGGTAGCAAGGTCTAGGGCTCCCTCATGTTCCAGGACATAGGGGAGAGACAAACTTGCTCATCATCTCAGAAAAAAAGAGAACACATCCCTGAGGTCTTGGGGAGCCATCTGCTGCCTTCACAATCTCCTGGCCATGAAGAACACCCACAGCCACCTAGGCCGGATGGAGCTCTGTGTGCCACAGCTCTTCATGCTCTTGTCTACAAACAGTGTTTGCACTAGCAGCTTTGCAGTGTCTCTGAAGGTTCTGGAAAGTGAATCCTGCATCAAGGTTTGAAAATCTTTGCTTCCCTTGTTTGGGATGTCCTTTCAAAGAGCTAGCTCATTAAACATTTATGCTTTTAATTTTATGTCTTACACACCCACAGACTGTACCTTGTCAGCAGTCTGGGTACCACCATGCCTACCACCCCCACCCCTGCATCCAGGCAAATTGTGCAGGGTCCTGAAAATGCCTGCTTAGGGTAAATTTCATGCAACCAACAGGAATTCCATTTATTTAAAAATAGATGGGAAAAGCTTTCAGGCTCAAGCAATCTTTGGCAAGACTGCATCGACAGGATTCCAGAGAGGAAGAGTGGAAAAATTCTGCCGCACGTGACGCCCAACTCCAGCTGGGAGATGCTTTCACCCGCTAGCTAGGGTAGCTTTGATATCCACACGGCCGCCAGGCGCTGTCCTTTCAGCACCCCCAGCACAGCCTCTCCCTAGGAAACTTTCAAGCCCAGCCCACTTCTCTTTCCTTCTCTCTGGGCCAGGTAACTTAGTGGCTGTAGCAGCAGGGGCCCCAGCCCTGACACTCCGCTGCACTCAACAGCCGGACAGCACAAAGTGACAGGACCGATGCTGCTCTGAGACCTGCTCTGATTCTCAGGAATCATCCTGTATGTCCCTTCCCCAATGAAAACTCCCAAGGGCTATGACCACATGCTCCCCAGATTTGCCTGGACTTATGCCCACTGTCCTCCCCCAGAGTCTGGCACAGATAGGAATCCACGGTCAGTGTTGTAGTGGCTGCCCATAGTGGAGGCCACATCCAATCAATCTGGGCTATTCCCTCTTTGGAGAACTACACAGTAACTGCCTACACCGTGCAGCCTGGGAGGCAGACTATGCTCCCCAGAACCTACCCTCCTGCACTGCCCAGGTGTAGACGCAGCCTGACAGCATCACTCCTATCACTCCTCCTCCACACAGCACTGGAGCCGGGCATCAGATCATGAGTCAGAGTGGCACAGGCTGCCACTGGTCAACTATCCTGGCCAGAGGTTGTCAGGCTGGGAGCTGTACAGGGTGATCCCAAAGTGCAGCTGGCTGGAGCCCAGTTGGCACAGCCCCAGCTCCTTCCTTTTTGAGTCTGTGCTCTCACACAGAAGCTACCTGACTTCCACAGGCCAGCAAACTCTGTAGACGTTTGCACAAGTGGATGCTGAAAAGTGAGGCTTCTTGTCTCCCCTCCCCCCGTCCTCCCCGAATCACAGGCCTTCAGAAGAACAGATGACCCTGGCAGAGACCCAGAAGTAAAAGCTCCACTAGTGTAGAAACAAGACTTAATTTAGGGAAATGAGAAGAGACACGTTTTCAATCACTTACCCTGGGTCAGAACTGCAGCTGTTTTAATCCTTAATTTGGACAACAGGAAGTACCTACCCAGACAGAACCCCCCTCTCAGGATTTTCCATTATTAGGAGAAGGAAGGCTGTGTGTACACACTTCACAGGGAAGCATGGATGTAACAAAAAGATTTAAGATATGGAAGCATTGATTTCTTTAACGTCTTACATTAAAGTCAATAAAAATTTAATTTATAGCTTTTTTAACAGGACCAGAACTCTGGACTAGCTTCCCTGGCCCCTGGCAAACCAGATAATTGCATGAAGGACTTTACTTGCATTTCTCAAACACTCCAAATACCTGGGCTATGGAAGCCTGCAGTCATCTGTTATGGCCAGAGACAGAGAGGGAGTGAGGTGGCCCTGGCGGTGCCCACAAAGGCAGAAATCTGCAGCTCCCAGGCTGCAGGGTCTTTAAGTGCCCCCACCTCCTGTGCCTTCAGGCAAATGCAGAAGCTGTGTCAGTCTCCTGTTCTGTAGTGGATGAATGCAGAGGAACAGAGGCCCCACAGCGCTCTCAGGCGTGCCCTTGGCTCTGCCATGGCCTCCACACATCCACACTCCCCTGGAACCAAGCTTGATGTCTACCTTGTACTTTCCTCACCGCAGCCTGCTCACCTGTGAGGTCCAGCCTGGCCACTCACTCTGTGACCACTCCAGGGTTCACCTGCCTCTCTGCCCCTTTACTCCCCACTCCAGAACAGGGCCACCAAGCTGCCCCTAGAGCAGAGCAATGACCCTGCATGTGCTTCTCCTTCTGCTATTGTGGGTAGACACTGGATCTGTGCCCAGCTGGCTCTGAGTCCACCACTGCTACTGTGTGCCAGCTTCCCTTATGGTCAGGAGGAAGACCCTAGGTATTGGAGACATTGAGTAAAACAAAGTGAAGTGAGGGGCACCACAGGGACCTAGAGCCCCGAAAGCCCCCACCTTCTAGTGGAGGGGCAGGTCCACACCCTAGGTTCACGGAACATCCACTCAGCTCCTTCCCATGCCCCAAAGATTGAAGGAGATGGAGGGGGAAATTTTCTACCCCCCTTAATAGGATTTGGGAACATTACCTCTTCCCTCCAACTGTGTCTTCTGACTCCCTGGTCAGACTGCCCCCATCTTCCTAGGCAGCTGAGCCCTGGAACCTAGCAGTCCTAGCTGGCTCAATATGTCCCAGCCTCAGATGCCGGCTGGCCCTGGGTGAGCTCTCTGGACCAGGAAGCCAAGCCTATGGGCTCAGAGAAGGCAGAAGCCCAGCCCATGGCCCCCATATAATGCCCCCACCCCATCTCCAGGGAGACAGGCCTGGAGAGCAAAGGCTGGTCCCTGCCCCACCAACCCCTCCAAGCCCATCCTGCAAGCTCAGCCTTGGCCACACCCACTTTGCATCCAGTGCCTCCAGTATGACCCAGAGGCTCTTAGGAACTGACGCCCTCCTCAGCCCCCAGAGTGGAGTGAGACAGTGGGAGGAGATGCCAACAGCTGACTCCACATGGCCCACCAAGGAAAAAGCCTTCCCCCAACCCCT